AGAAAATTCGAGGGAAAATGTCAAGAGATTTTTTTTTTATGGGGAGAATTGAATTTCCGAGAGACGAAGTTAACTACTAGAAAATTACTGTTCGCAAAATTTCTATCTCCAAATCTTTAAATAATTTTAATTATTCATTTACAAACAACGAATGGTTAAAAAAATAATAATTCTGTGTCAATTCATATTCGTGATTTTTTTTTTATTTCTCTGACGCAATTAAATTGACAAATTTGATGATTGACATGGTGTGGTTTCCGCCAAACTGTAAAGCTATCGAAAATTATTGAAAAGTTTTCTATGAGTTGATTTTATATTTTTTTATGAAGGGGAACTCATCTGAATTATGAGCAAAGTCGAGGGAAAATGTCAAGAGATTTTTTTTCATGGGGAGAATTGAATTTCCGAGAGACGAAATTAATTACTAGAAAATTACTATTCGTAACATTTCCATCTCCAGGTCTTTAAGAAATTGATTATAAGTAATGAGGCAGTGAATTGGTTAATGTTGATAATTAATGAATAGTGAAATTGTGGAAGGAAAATAATGTTTCCGAAAGCTTAAACAATTTTAATTATTAATTTACAATCAACAAATCTTTGAAAAAATAATAATTCTGTGTAAATTCATATTCATGATTAAAAAAAAAAATTCTCACTCAATTTAATTGACAAATTTGATGATTGAAAATGGTGTGGTCTGCGCTAAACTGTAAAACTACCAAAAATTACTGAAAAATTTTCTATGAGTTGATTTTATATTTTTTTATGAAGGGGAAATTATCTGGATTACGAGAAAATTCAGGGGAAAATGTCAAGAGATTTTTTTCATCGGGAGAATAGAATTTCCGAGAGAATTTTACACCGCGTTCCACATTGCCTCATTCTCCCCTATTCTTCAACCTTTTTATTCCAACAATAAATATCTTCCACGAAAAAAACACTATAAACTGTGGCCCAGCGTAATGGAGTATATTCTCACCCCGTTGGATATTTGATTTACGATGTGGATAAGCGAGAAAGCGTGTGCCTGTCTCAATGAACTTGAAAAAAAAAAAAAAACTCCACCCAGTGGTGTCTCAAACCCAACGCAGTACAACTACTGCAACTTACATTGTGGCTGCGGTGAGCTTTTACGAAAATTGCTTTATATTGTGGATTTTATATGGAATCATCCGGATACTATTTCATCCTGTCATTTTTTGCGGGCTGGAGGAGTTATTGCACGTGACGGTTGTACAGTTTCTTCGACCCACGTCACTCATCCTCATTTTTTATTAACCGTGAAGTCAATAAAAATTCAGTTCAGAGTGAATGATGCTATTTTTTTGAGAGAAAATTTTTTTTCTTTTGATCAGTTGTTTCTAAACCCTAGATTGGGTCCATTCAGCATCGTCAAAATTTGCTGCACATGTTTCAGCATTTTGATATTGCTTTAATGTCTTTATAATTAAGATCACTCAAGATTTTCCCCTCTACAAAACATTTCTAGGAACATTTTCTCCTAAAACAATTCGTTACCGACATAAACGTCAAATTAACAAAACATTTGAGACAGAAAATTTATTCACAACTAATTTTCTAGATGTTTAGTTAATTTTGTAATTATTCAGTGATTGAGTGGTTAAAAAAAAAAAATTTAATTTTTTTTTTAATTTTATTTTTTATTTTATTTATTTTTTTTCTAAACCCTAGATTGGGTCCATTCAGCATCGTCAAAATTTGCTGCACATGTTTCAGCATTTTGATATTGCTTTAATGTCTTTATAATTAAGATCACTCAAGATTTTCCCCTCTACAAAACATTTCTAGAAACATTTTCTCCTAAAACAATTCGTTACCGACATAAACGTCAAATTAACAAAACATTTGAGACAGAAAATTTATTCACAACTCATTTTCTAGATGTTTAGTTAATTTTGTAATTATTCAGTGATTGAGTGGTTTAAAAAAAAATTTGACAGGACATGTTTTGTTGGAAATTTCCTCCTAGGACGACTCATTCCCGAGATAAATGCGAACATAACAGAAGTGATTTTCCCATAAACTGAAATTATTCAAAGATTTCCGGTATTTTTTCATTCAATAAACAATAATACTGTACTTATCACACATTGACAAATGTAAGGGACTCTCCCCCTAATTTTCCAACATTTTCATCTCGAGATTAGAGTGAGAGTCGACGTTTAACGTCTCACCGGATAATGCAGACACAGGAAACGTCAGAAATTCCGTGGCAGTAACCAGAGAGGATACGTGCAATGAAACGAGTAACGGATTAACCCGACGAGTGAGGATGAGTTGAGGGGGATGAGTGAAGAGGGGAAAAATAGAGAGATGTAGATAAAATAGAGGCACTACAGCTCTAGGGGTAATCAAGCTGCGCAGCAGTAGTCATCGGATATTTCAGCTTGCGTAACACCACACGAGATGAGGGGGAAATTGGGAAAGGGAAGTAACTCAGTTTCCTAACTAATGCAGCATTGAGTTATTTCCTCAGCAATTAAATGTGTCACCAGTGAGCGGAATATTGAAAATGCCAATTGGAGGAACTGGTGAATAATTAATGAAAGGAATTATTAAATTCTCTTATTCTCTTAAAAATATTCTTCCCAATGCCATCTTGACTGAGTTTGCTAGGTGAGATTGACTGCATCATCTTTTGGAAAAATTTATTTTCAACATTGGAGGAATGTCGGCTGCCGACATTAGGGCGATGTTGGTTACCAACATTAGGGAATGTTGACTACCGGCATTAGGGAATGTTGGCTATCAACATTACGGCAATGTTGGCTACCAACATTAGGGTAATATTGGCTACCAACATTACGGCAATGTTGGCAACCAACATTAGGGCGATGTTGGCTACCATCATTAGGGTAATATTGGGTACCAACATTACGGCAATGTTGGTTACCAACATTAGGGAATGTTGGCTACTAACATTAGGGCAATGTCGACTGCCAACATTAGGGCAATATTGGCTACCAACATTATGGCAATGTTGGCTACCAATATTGGGACAATGTCGACTGCCAACATTGCGGCAATGTTGAATAAATTGAATCATTAAATACAATTTAAAATACATAGTCATAAAGATTCTATTCAGAAGCAAATTCCTAATTCATTATCAAAAATATATTGACTGCGTTGTGACGAAGGCAACTTTCCACTTGTTTATTTCAATATAATTTCAATATCTCAAGCCAAGACTATTTTCCGTGAACGAAAAATCCACTCATTCTGCTCTATCCAACACCTTCATCACTGACTTCTCCCCCGTTAATAATCCTTCAATTCATTCACGATATCAAAACTCAATCAATAACGTTTCGAATCGATCCGGCGTTTATGAATCGAGCGATAAAGAAATAATAACTTGTCGCCCATTGTGAGAGACCGATTAAATTCCAATGCAACCCAACAATTGCTCTGCGCGTAGTTGTTCAACCAAATGACGCGTGTGAAGGGGGGGGGGGGAAATGCCCCTCAGGTTGCTAGCAAGCAACAACAACAAAAACCAAATAATCGGGCAAGATCACAGTGCAGAGCGGGGATAGAGTGAAAACAAAACCGAATAACAGGGATTACCGAGGAGAACAGATAAAAACCGACATTTCCGTGAGAGATCAGCAGTGACAACTTCTCCAAGTACCAGAGCATGTTGTTACCTACTACGTAATAATAAAAAAAAAAAAACAATATGAAAACAGAGAAAAAATACGATTATTATCGATGTGAAATTGCGGATAAAAGTGGGTCGTGGGGGCGTCGGGGCAATTGCACGCACAAGCCTAATGTTATGTAAACAACTTGTTTTATTCCACGAACAATGGGCCTGTACTGATCAGGTTAATGTTTGCCGCGTGTTTCGTATGTTTGTATTGAATTTTTCAGCTTTATCGTGACATTTGCGCTATTTCGGGGGATTTACGGTTGTGTTTGATCCTACTACGTCGTCTCCGGGTTTGAGAGAAAAATTGGATTCATGTTTTTTCATAATTTCAGTATTTAATCACTGCTATCATTAATTTATTCGATTTACTATTTATTAGTTCTTTATTGAGGGAAAAAATTTACGAATTTTTAGGAGAAGTTTAAGGAGATCCAAATATCTTTTGCTATCCGCATGTTAAGTTTTTTTTTTAGCCCCTTTGGATTTCCGGAAAATTTCTAAATAACTGAATTTATTTCATTCTCATAAGTTATTGAGTTTTTCTATTTTCATGTGTTGTTGACGCAGGCAACAATAACTGTTTGAAGCAAAGAGGAAGTTATTACTTAATCCTCTTTTAAAAAAATGTAACTTTCTTTGTCAGCAATCTATTCCGCCATGCTTGACTTCGGATGATTTCCATCCTAAACTTATCTCAACTTATCCCATCGTAAAAAGGAGAAAAGAAATCGATCTCGAAATATCTCGAAAATCTCGAATAAGCGTAAGACTGAAACCGAAGCGCCACTACGTGAGGAGATGAGAAGGCGCGTGCGCAGCACGCGCGGCCGATCTCGTCTCAACTCATCTTATAAATAAATATATATATATTTTTTAAAAATGTATATTTTTTTAATTATATATATATTATTACAAATAAATTAAATAAAAAAAAATTGATTAATTTTTTTAATAAAATAGAAAAAAAATATTAAAGTATGAAAAAAATTATTATTTGTTCTTGGTTATGATTGGCAGGAATTGGAAGGTTGTATGATATTATTTCAACATTTTAACATGTTAAAATGTTGAAATAATATCATAATAATATCCTATTAGAACTTTCGTTATTTGCAAAAATTAATCGCTCTTAAAACGATCTGAATAATGAAATAATATTAGCCATTTATGATGATGATTTAGTTTAACATGAGACTCCTACATTTTATGCGCGCGCCCTTTCCCTAGTTATGGAGAAAAAACTTGGGCAAATGTAATTTAAAATGGAATAAATGTTGGTTATCAATTAAATTATAATTTTTTTCCTTCTGTTTCTTTGCAGTACTGAGGAGTTGGACGAGAGTGGTCTGGCAGCAGTGACACTGCTGGAGGTTGCTGACAGTCAGGATCAAGATCCACTGTCTGATTTAGATATAAAAGAGCCCAACGAAACACAGGAGTGCGATAGAGTGACACTTAGATCCGGTAAAAACGGAGGTGGTAGCCGTGGAGCTGGCCAGAATAATTCATTTGGCAGTGGCGCCAGTTGTGATACGAGTAACGTTGGTAGAGTAACACAGCGTACACATATGGAGCAGGAGAAACGAATGAGGCGAGAAATCGCCAATAGCAACGAGAGACGACGCATGCAGAGTATCAACGCGGGATTTCAATCATTGAGGACACTACTGCCACACCATGAGGGGGAGAAATTGTCCAAGGTCAGTGGTATATTTATTATCATCAAATTTTTTCGCGACTTTTCACCACAATTTTCCGTTTTCCCGACAATCCTCATTTTGTTTTTTTTTCCCATTTTTTCTCTCCACTAAAATGCAAATATCTCGGAAACTACTGGGTTTAGCCGAAAATCTCCCAAGATTTTTTTTGCAGACAATTTGATTCCCTGCAACAAAGTTATTGTGACATTTTTTGCTAATCCCAGTGGCTTCAGAGATATCTACGAAATAGCGCAGACAGAATTTTTCCATCTTTTCGTTCTCATCAATTTCATTTGCCGCACTAAAATTCAAATATCTCAGAAACTACTGGGTTTAGACAAAAATCACCCAAGATTTTTTTTGCGTAGAATTCAATTTCCTGCCAAAAACTCTTATGACATTATACGCAAAATCCAACAGCTTCGGAGATATTCGCAAAATAATGCAGATAGAATTATTGGATCCCTCGGTATTCCTCAATTTTCGATAGATAAATTTCACTTTTTATTTTTTGAAATTCCTCTCACCCGTTGTTTTTACAAATTTTTTCTATACTCAACTCTACCCTCAGGAATTCCCATGAAAAGTTCAAGGATCATTCGTTTTTTTTATCCACATTTTTATTACGTAAATTATTATCAGTCACGCGATTTAACCGGATACTCGATGCACATTTCCTGTGCACTTGTTGCCTTATTCTGCTGTTATTTTTATTAAATTCCTCACAACGGTCATTCACTGATTGATGAATAAAATTATGTGGAAATATCCTGGCCATTCATCACTACATAACCCATATGATTTATTGATCAAAAAGAAAAATCACGTGAATCCAAATTTTTTATTCCCATTAAATAGTTAGAATTCAATAATGCGATTGTCCGCAGAACGAGGTAGACATGCGTGATACACTCCACTCAAGTACGCATGATTCACCTCATCTCACCCCCAAATTCATTCCACCAATCATGACGATCATAAAAAATTTGCCGAGTATACGTGACACATAATTTTTAGTACGTATATTTCGCAGAATAAATCATGTAAAAATCATTCTCATGTAAAATCTGGGGCTTTTCACCCCCAAAAAAATTGGAACGTGTGAAATATACGTGACAATGTTGCCTTTAGTACGTGTATTTCACATTAATCCAGGAATGATAAGAAATATCGCAAGAAAAATCCAGAAATCAAAGTAGAAATAGCAATGTCTTCAGGGAAAATTAATCCTCGATGATAATCATCATCGAGTTATCTGGGAAATGCTATCATTAACTCCGGAAAATCGCCGAGAAGATGATTCGGTAACTACATTGTAAGGTACTTAGATGAATATATGTAATTGAAGCACTGGAACATCAGTGGAAAAATGGGGCTGCATGTGCCACAAATTACCCTGTTATATGTATTACTGCCTGTCAATAAGACCGTAATGTCATGCTCGTTAGGTTGGTGTATAATCTACCGTGTCCCCGGTCGTTCGATCTGCAATATCACCACGAAAGTTACTCTTCAATTTCAATAATTCAAATGCTCGTGAAGCTAGTTTTACAACTTTCACCGGTAATACCGTCTTCATGGCTGTTACCAACTTTTATGATTTTTTATTTGATTATTTATTTAGGGGAAAATTATTGATATCAGAGGGAGAGAGGAGAGTGTTGAGGTGAATTTATCTATTTTTCATTGGGTGATTAATTTTGGGTTTTTTAGTTTGAGGGGGGAATTTTATTTTTCTGGGATTGGAGATGAATTGATGATGGATGAGTGGATGGAGGATTTTTGAGAATATCTTGGGAACGAGGGTTTCCGGGCTTTGGACGCTTTTGTCTGGAGTCACGGCTCAACGAGATGATTCTACGGTTGAGGGTGAATTAACGAGGAATTAATCAAAATTTGCGGTGTCAGATTTTTGTGAATAATACGTGAAAAAATGGGGTTTTCGAAGAAAATGTCAATCAATATTTTTGTCTAAAATCACGTCTTAACGGGATGATTCTACGGTTGAATTGATCGAAATTTTTGGTATCAGATTTTTGCGAATATCTCGTACAGTAATGATTTTATCATAAAGTGTAATTGAACATTTTTTGTAGCGGATAAAATTTTCTGAAAAAAGATCTTCCAACATTTTTGTCTAAGATCACTCAGGTTGAGATAATTTGATAGTTGAGAATGGATTGAAGACGAATTACCGACAGTCAATAAAGATTTTTGTGAATAACACATTTTCTCAGATTGTTATGAATAATACGAAAAAACGTGGTTTTGGAAGAAAATGTCAATCAACAATTTTGTCTAAGACCACGGCGAAAAAATGCGCAATAAACACTTTGTCTAAAATCACGTCTCAACAAGATGGTTCAATATTTCCCAATGAATTAACTACGAAACACCAACGAATTCCCAAAATTTTCGTCTCAATTTTTCACAAATATCCTCTGGCCTAGAAATTCTATCCAAAAATGCTTCTAAATCTTTTTTGTAATCCATAAAATTTCCCACAAAACTACAATTCACCATTTTATTCATTTATCAAGCGACAACAACATCAGCAACAAATTCGTCCGAATTGCGTTTCCCACTCTCAAAACAGCGCAATTCAATTTCAGAATGGAAAAAAAAAACGAAATAAAAAAACTGTCTTATCACCTGAGACCCACCCCCGCACGCAGTCTCACCCATACGTAAAACCCAACCCAAGCAAATACCAACTGCCAAAAAAAAATCCCCAGCAAACGAGCCCAAAAAGACATATTCAAAACAAAAAAAATACTTCTCTCTTTATCGTAACGCAATATTTTGCGGACCGGTTTTCGAGCCACATGGTTTGGTTCCCACGCATTTCTCTCGGGCGACCGGCTCGCCCTCATCCCCCCCCCCC